AAAAAAAGTAAGACAACTATATAAATTTCAGTGTTTTCAAAGCATTACATGTTTTCTGTAAATGAGAATTTGTCGTTCCACCACCGCTGCATGTGACGCCATGGCTGGGCGGGGCTTGTTTTCAAACCCAGACGCAGGCACATACCAATGAAGATGGCGGCGGTGGGGTCCGCCAAATCCTCTGGACTTGGGCAGAGAGGCAAAACCAGGCCTGGCGCTCTGGCTGCTCCTCTGAGTCTGGAGGAGGCCCGGTGCCCGGTGTGCTCCGAGATTCTGCTGGAGCCGGTAACGATGCCATGCGGACACTCGGTGTGCCTGCATTGTTTCCAGCGGACGGTGAAGTTAATCAGTCTGTGCTGTCCGCTGTGCCGGCTGCGAGTGTCCAGCTGGGCCCGTCAACAGTCCCGGGAGAAGAGCCTGGTCAACACCGAACTCTGGGAGCTGGTCCGGCTCAGTCATCCGGAGAGATGCAGGCGGAGGCTGGAGCAGAGAGACCGAGAGATCGCGGACGGAGGTTCGGAGGACTTGACATATTACATAATCAGGAGTTTGAAATAATTATTTACGCTTCGAGAAATCGCAGCATGACAGTTTTCCAGCTTCAGTGATTTCAGTTCAGTCGACCGTTTTACCAATAAATCAGAATGGGTAGAAATAAAAATACAATATTTTATTTCGTTTGGTTTGGTCTGTGGACAAACGCCCAGTTGCGTCGCGTCGCGCGCGTTGCGTTTTCAACTTGGAAAAAACACGTCTTGAATACTCAGCTGTATTCCTCTGGCTAAAGACCATTTGAATGGCTTATTGTGCGAAAAACGGTAAACATTTGTTGGAGTATGTACATTTGGGTTTGGTAACTTGTGGCGTTTTGATGGTTTTCTGTCAAACTGCTCTGCGTTCCGTCTGAACGGCATGGGAACAGCGGTCAATATAGTAATACCTGATCAAATCAGTATTTAAAAGATTTTTTTATTCTTAAAAATCTCAGTATTATTTCTGTAGTAGTATATATAGTCACTTATCCTGGTTGTTTGTAAACGTGATGTGTTGTGGTAACTTGTCCAGGCATGTGTGTGTCCAGAGGGTGGAGCTAGTGACAGAACTGAGATTCTCTGAGAGCATCAGATGTGTTTATTAGATAGTTAGCTTATTGTCCTTTCAGAAATTATTTTTGTATCTGTGGCAACTCTTCAGTGATCAACAAGAATAATTAACCAATACAAACATCAACAGGTTACAACACATTACAAATAAATACAACCAGCATCAACCAACATCCCTCTAGATGTAAAATCACAACTGTGATATCACAAAAATGTATTTAACAGAGCTATACTGGATGATATAAAAGATAATGGTACCCTGTACCTTCGACCAGATGGTAATAACTCATATTCACCACAAAGTAGATGAGATGCATCGTGAAGAATTGTATGGCTTTTCCTCACAGCTCAAGATTCGCATAGTTTTATCAGACTATGCTGTTGTTTACCTGCAATCTTACTAGCCATATTAACAATTTTACTTAGTTTGTTCTTATTTACTACAGACAGTGAGAAATACCAAGCAACAAAGCTCAAGATACTCTCCACAAATGAACGATAGAATAGAGCCAACATGTATCCACACCAAACTGTCGAAGCTTACGCATTAAATACAATCGTCGCAGCCCTTTCTTGTAAACAGCTGCTGTATTTACATCCCATGTCAGTTTTACATCAATGATTGTCCCTAGATATTTATATTCATTTACAACTTCAATGCCCTCACCATTAACAGTTATTTGTTGATGAGTGCCTCTTCTTGTTCTGAAGTCAAAAATCATTTCTGTAGTTTTCCTGATGTTTAACTAAACTAAACTAGATTGACACGAATCAACAAACTCATCCACACCTCTACGATACTCCTCTTCAGTGATCAAACCAATAATTGCCGTATCGTCTGCATATTTGACATTAAAAACATCAGATGAGAAACCTCTACATTCATTTGTATAAAGGGTCAATAACACTGGGGAGATAGTTATTATGGTCTGGTCACTTTAGTGAGCCAGTTGGCCATTTTTGCTGATATATTTCTGTTTTCATCTCTTAGAAATTTTTCGTGCACCTGTGCCAATTCATAAGTCTGGAGAAATGCATCAAGAGTACGAGAAACAAAAGATGAAGGTAAGTCACAGGGCTATGACACACTACTGAGTAAAGTGAGTATGCTCTTGATTGCAGTTTATCACGTTATATATCTCAGACATATACATAGTTTTTGGATATGTAGGCTACTATGGTATTAACAATTGATAAAATTACTGAACTGTTGTTCCACAAACGTCTTTTGTATGGACATTAATGAATAGCCTGCACTTACTTGGCATTTGGTAAAATGCAAAGCACTTCTGGTTTGTAATAAGCTTGTTTTATTATATGTTCTCCTTATAGCCTGACATGCTGTACATATATAAAGCAGTGTTATTTCTTCAGGGTGGAGGAAGTGAAGAAACTGAAGAGAGGAAGAAAAAAATCCACAGAAAAGAAGAGTGTGGGATGCTGAAACATTGTCAATATCCTGTATGTTCGTTTCTTTCTATCGTTTGTACCTACTTGGGTCTAAACAGGGTCTAAACATGCACAGTTAATTCATAATTTGGGATATTTCTTTTATTGACTGTTTAGTTACTGCTCAATTACGTATGATCTTCCATCTTACCCTGTAGTTTACCGTGTTTCAGTTCTGTGGAGTGTCCGACTCTGAGAATGAAGAGCCGGTGGGAAAGAGGACCCGACATGTTTCAGCATTTGTGCGAAAAACAAGATGCTCCCCTGCTTTCAATAGAGGGTATTGCACTTATATTTACTCTATAATTTTACATTTTAATTGTCTAATTTTATATAAATATATTTATTATCAGGGGTCAAATTATATAGTTTTTCATCATTTCTAGAGAGGAGGGCATGGAATAATGGGGTACACTACTAGGGCTGCACGATAAATCGAAATGGAATCGAGATCGCGATTCGACAGAAGCTGCGATTGTCATGCGTATCTTTCAGTGAAGCATGGTTCTGTGATCAGCAGTAAATCTCCATCCAAAGGCCAGAGGGCGCTCTCGCGCTGAAACTCCAAATACACCTCGCAGAAGAAACCCAGAAAATGCCTATCGCTGCAGTGGAATAAACTGAAGATTCAACTGCTTTCATTGATTCAGCGTGACTAATAAACACACGACTACGGCAATATAGGTTTATCTGAGTTCTTATTATAATTTTCATTAACAGAACCGGCTTTACTAACTAAATGCGCATGACAATCGCATTCGATTAATCGTGCAGCCCTATACACTACTATGCAAAAAAACACACACCTCTTCATTCTTTATGACATTTTAGGACAACAGTCATCAAAACTATGAAATAGCACATAGAGGTATAGAAATTATGTAAAGTGTCAAGCAAATCAAAATTATACTTTGTTAGAAAGTTATTCGGGAGTTTCCATTTGTCTAGATTACAGCCATACTCTCATTAAACACATTTAACAATATTCACTCAAAATGAAAAAAATAGACAACGGACAATTATTTTAAAATTAAATGCATTTATAGAGCTATATCTGCCACAAACATGAACTAGCACAACTATTAATACACATAATTAATAATTAATCCGCTAATTAATATTAGCTGATGCCAAATGTCAGACTATTAGTAACTTTGCACATCACTGTTTATTATATCAGAAGGTCTGCAGTATGGAGGAAAGATTAAAAATTGTGACTTAAATTTTGATACTTCCCTCAATAAATTGTTTTCCGATTGTTAGGTGTTAAAAAAAGATATACATCCATTCTATCATTGTGCTGTATTACAGTTGTCTTCATAGCAGTGCTGTCCAGAGGAGCAGGAGCTGTACAGATTCGGAGGATGGAAGAGGAAAAAGCAGAGGTCACGCACATCATGCCGTTCCTGACAAGGTATAATATTTCAGTTATTGGCTGAATGAGTATGTTCAAATAAGATTCAGTTTAATTTGTTGTTTAGGGTGAATTGTTGGATAAAACACCAGTCCCGTTGTTCCAAGAAATGTAATTGGCTCTCAAATTTAATTGCGGAGTATAAAATGTTGTTGTAAGTAAAACTATTTTAGAAGACATATTTATCTGCAACTTTTAGTACAGTTCATAGCTTTTGCTAGAGTAGGGTTCTTCATATCTTATAGGGCTGTCAGCAATGATTATTTTCATAATTGAGTAATCGGTTGATAATTCTGATGATTAATAGAGTAATTGGATTTTCTTTTTTTTGTGGTTATAAAAATAGAACTAAGCCAACAGACTTTAAAATGACTCACAATACATACATAATAGCAATAAGGAAATAATAATTGGTTCAAATAAAATATCAAAAGCAAGTAATCATATGGTTTTATTGAGCAAAACAGTTGAAATACATAATATAAATATAGCTGCAAGTGTTAATTTGTTCAGCTATTTTTAATTTAGTCTTAGTCCTGTGTCAAATGTAACTTTTAGTTTTTATCATATTTAGTCAACTTGTCCTGTTTTAATTTGTCTAGTTTTAGTAAGTGGAAACTTACACATTTTCGTCATATTTTCGTCTTACTGTATAATGGTTAAAATGATTTAAAAAAATGATTGTTGTCATTTGGGAAATTTATTTTTACATTTCATCAGAAGTTGCTCTTACACCATTATGCACAAATCAATAGAATATCAACTCATATGCATGGTTTATTTGACCTCATCTAGTGTACAGATTTATAACAGGATATCAATTAGAGGCTAAATAAACACCAAAGACTTTAGATATACACTCGCCCTGTCTACATTATGAAAACTGGTGTAACAAAAACCTACTCAAATATTATAAAACCTACTCGAATATGATAACAGAAATTCCTAATAGTAATTCCAAATTGAATTAATGTTTCTCTTTTAAAACAATGGCAAAAAAAAAAAAACGTATTGCCGCTCAGAGGTTGCGTAAGTAACATTACAATCAGCAACCACTATCGCAAACAATACAGTCGAGATCCATGACAGAACACAGACTGGCTGAATGACACTTTCATTTAAGCAGAATACCTCAAATAGAGATCACTGAACTGCAGCTTACTTGTACAGTACTATATGTCGGTGTTTTCAGATCATGGCGCCTCCACAGAGAGAATGCGTGTGAATGGTTGCCAGATTTCATAAAGCAAAAAGCCGGGCAGAGTACGTATCCGTTTAACAGAAAAGCTCTGATTGGGGGATTTGATCTCTTGATATCTGGCAAACATGAACACTCTCGTAATAGTCTTGTACAGCAGTCTGAAATGTTTTGGCTCCACTTTTTTCAACAAAAATAAAAAGGTTTTGTTAAAAGTTTTTGTTCTTTTAACTACATTTAGTCTCGTCTTTTTTCGTCAAAGATATTGCATGCTCATTTAGTCTCGTTATCTTAGTTTAGTATTAGTTATCGTTTAATGAACTTATTATCGTCTCGTCATCGTCTTGTTTTCGTCAGGGGAAAAAACTTCGTTGACAAACATTTTTAGTCATAGATTTCATTAAAGAAATTAACACTACTGCAAGCTGTGATTACCGGGGTTCAAGCGCTTTAAGGCATTATGCTTTTAGGGTCTAGGCCAACCCAAAATTAATGGCTGACACTGAAACGCATCCATGATGCCGAATACGCTCATAGACACACACACAGACACACACAGAAATGTAATGGTTAAACAATTATATTAGTGCTCATTAAACATGCTTACACACACATTTTGTTGCACATATATATTTCTGAAATAAATGGTAGGTAACAAAATGCTTACTGCTAGTCTTCTCTTTTTAAGAGTTTATATATAATTTTCAGGTTTCACAGAAATCATAATCTGGCATAATTGTAAAAACTGATATGTTTGTATAAATAAAGTGGTAAACTTTAAGTAAATGTGATTTTAAATGTTATAACAATGATTTTATAACGTCTACATGCGAATCCAAAAGTAAAACCTGTGAAAAGGACTATATTAGTGAGTTGAATGAGCCCATTATTGGCCCTCTGCTGCCGTGGTTATAACTGCAATTTCAGGGATCTTCCCAAAGAAGTATACTGTCTTTAAAGGTGCAGTAGGAGATCTTGGAAAATGTTAAATTTAGCCTGATAGCACTGAAAGCGAACATCCCACCCTACCTGCAATCGCCGTCCAAAGCCACACTCCCTAAACGCATATACGCTCACAGACCAGAATACCAGAGACAACATTACTACATCAGCGGTTCCCAATTCCAGTCCGGATTTCCCCTGCTTAGGGAGTAGGCACTTCCTCTCCCGGAGTACGGATTTCCCCTGCTTACACTGTGTTAGGGATCATATCGATCGGAACACAGTTCATGCACATGGCTCTCTTCTAATGAGCTGGTTATTTTGAATTTTCGTTTAGGCTTTATAGGCTTGTGGGTATATTTGGGCCAGATCCACACAAAGCCAGAGCTTTCCCTATCCAATTGTTATTTTTTCCTCATTCTAAAAAAAAATTCTGTAAACGTGGCGTCGTCTCAAGAAATATTTGCGTACACACGAAACCACTGAAACCGACTCAAAACGATGTAGTATACATGCCAGACCATTGCTGGTAAGTGACGTAGCAGTGTCTGACTAGGGTCGAGACGTGGGGTGATGACATCGTTTCACAAAATATACGGATTGGCTGTACACACGAAAACGCAAGGGTATAGTTTTCAGATTTATACACTCTGGGACCTGGTTTCAAAGAATAGTGGTTTCAGGCTCCCAAAATGCTAGATCTGTCTGGATGAAACGCTGATACGATACAAATTTTTTTACGGATACAGCTAAAGGCGTCTCCATGTGGACAGGCCCTTGGACATACCCCTTTTTTAAACTACCCCGTTATAGCCATCCAAAGGGTAAAGTTCAAAAATGTTTTTATAATTATTGACCTAGAGAGTCCAGAGAATTGTACTGCAGTGTTTTTTTTTTCGAGATTGAGCGAAAAAACCTAGGACTAGTTCGCAAAAGTAGGTGTTTTACATATTATCTATTATTTTACAGATGATTTGATTGACAGCAGTGGTTCTAGAGGCAAAGTTGTTCAGAATGAGGAGCTCTATCAGATGATATGAATATTGTTGTATGTCTGAAAAACCGTGCAATATACAATCATTTACGCCCTTGAAAAATGTGATATCGCTCCCCAGTGACCGATTTATTTCAAAATTTCTCACAGACCTTTAGGGCCATGAGTCAAACAGGCCCACGTAGTTTCATTCCGATTGTTCTCCGTTAACCTTGTCTTGTCCTTATCCTTATCCTTATAGACACCTGTGGCACTTTGGATAAAAGACACTGCATACCAATTTTCATATTGATCGGACAAATGGTTGCTTAGTCATAGCCATTTTTCCCCTCTTATAGCGCCACCAAGTGGCCAAGCTCTGCTATTTTTTTTTTCATGTGAACTTTGAATGAGCTCCTACATGAGTGTTCTGAGTTGCATTAAATCATTTTAACAGATTGAACTTTGAAATCAACCCTAAGAAGAATAATTGCCATATAACTTGTTTATTTTTAGGTCATGTTATCTAACAAATAAAATCTTACTGTAAAGTGTTTTTAATACTACCGTTTCCATCTATTTGATATACACTTAATATGTAATCGTATTTAAATTTATTATAAAAGCTGAGGTTTGTTATTTACTGAAAAGTGATATTTTAGCTGGTGTCAATGATCTAATGTTGCATTTGGTCAGACTCAGCCCATTGCTTTACTGAAGTATATTATATTTT